GATATAATTTATATTTATGTTCTTTATTAAATTTTCTTTCTTCCATGGCAACAAAATTTTGATAGGGTTGGGCTGCTGAATTTCGAGATAAAGGAATTGCTGCAAATGGTATCCCTCCTACATATTCGTTCTATATGTTTATTGTTTCGTAGGCTAATAATTTTTGTTTTCTCGATATAGCTCTTTGGCCATTAACAGTAATAGAGACGGCTGCTCTTAAAATGCTAGGTGAGGATCCTAAAATTTCACATTATTGTTAATTGCATATGTTCATTATCAATATATAACTTAGATCCAGACTATGGAAGTGATTCAAGAACCCCAGAAATAATGGCTGATGCTGCACATATAATTCTTACCAAAAATTCAAAAGAATTCAGGTACATATACATACACATTCATACATAATGTTGGCCGGTGACCTTAAATTACCAATATGACCTATCGTAGGTCATTGGTTATAACATAGTATATAAAATTCTAGTAAAAATTTTACTAGAATTTAATATGACCAATATCTATGGTTAAAGTGTCATATTATTATATAACTAAGGTTATATCAAAAATTGTTGACCTAGATCATTGGCTAACATTATACACACATACTTTAAGGGAAAGTCTAATGTGAAAATTTTTATATAATTAAAAAGTGGTAATTTTGTAATTGATGAAATAATTTTACGCGAACATGGTCAGACCGAATTTGATCATTATGCTACTAGACCTGGTGGTAAAGATATGACTATTGATTTATATATTGATGATGAGATAATTAATCTAGCGAAAGCGTTGAAAGAAGCGAAATCATATAATAGAAATTCTAAACTATAATACTATAACAATTTTTCGAAGGTAAATTAGGTATAATTTTATTAATTTTATTTGATAAAGGATGGCTGACTCTCTACATATACTTTATATGTGTCAAACTTCTAACAACATTTATTAGAAAATAATAAGAAAATATACATTTATGGGATCAAGTATATACTTTATTTGAAGCAGAACTTGAAAGTGCATTTAGAGAGTTGGTATAAGTAGGATAAAAATGCAGATTCTAGAACAGTTTTTTGGCACTCTTGGGTCTTGTTGCATTCTAATCTAGATTTCTAAATCAGTTTTTGGTACTCTTGGGTTTTGTTATACTCTAATCTAGATTTCAAGTAATTTTTTTATATTTTTATATTAGTTTTATATTTTTGATACACAGAAATTAAATTTTTTTTTACATTTACTATATATTATATTATTTAAATTTTTGTTTTATTATTTATAATGAAGAGCTTTATTATTTAGAACCAAAAGTTTTACCATATACTAAACTACAATCAAAGTAAACAATAGCTTTACCAAAACCTCAAGGTAAAAAAATATAATTTTGTATAACTTAATATTAATTTTCATATAAATTTGTATATAAAAAACCAAAACCAAACTATAGAAATAGATGATATTGTAATAACAGGTAACAAAAGCATATTCTATTATAAAGATTTTTTATTATTTAAATAAAATATAAAATAATTTTATAGATACAATTAGAAATGATGATAAATATTTAGTTGATAATATATATTTATTATTTTTTTATTAAACAACAAGTATTAAAAATATAAAACAAAGTACTTGCATAATTATAGAATACACATTCTATATTAACTTTTTTTAAAATAAAAGATGGATATTGCATAAAAATTTAGTATATGATAATTGAAATAAAGGTAAATGAATATTAAATGGAGTTAAAAAAGATATTTAAACAAATGTTTTTACAAAAAAATATTTATACTAAAGATTAGATAACAGCTACTAATATATATAGTATAATAGGTTGAAAGAATTTGCATGTAATAGTAAGTTGAAGCA